GTAAAGACATGTACACCTTTAAAACTAAAACAAATAAAAATGGCAGCTACATTTTTATTAACTGGGAAAAATACAAACTGGTTTCCTCACACTTACGTCCAATCCTGAACTGACCCATATGGGTATTTGTGAAGAACCTCATTTATTTCAATGGGTTTCCATACAGGAGTAAGAGTCTTCTCTGTACACAAGCCCTTGACTGTCAGCTTTTTCGGGCAAGGAATATGTCACTTACTATGTTTGTAAAGTACAGTGTACATTTGCTACACTACATACATTATTTGCAACAAAAGTGTTTACAAACTTTTCACTATAGTAAAAAGCTTCACATTATTATTAATACTTAAAGGTACTACAATCATTTTCATAATAAAATCACTCCATAAACCTTTTGCAGTGAGGTGCAGTTTCTTAAGGTTTGTTAAACTTTTTAAATGTATGTAGTATGGATATTTTTCATTTCTTCTTCTTTCTCTCATTCTGACTCTTCCTTAGACTACAAGTGCTTATAGTAAAGCCCAGACCAGCAGACGACAGTGTGCTATTTACCACAATTTATCACGCAGATAAGCATTTCCTTATCTATCCAACTTTTCAACTAAAGTCTTTGTGCCTGATCATGAGAGATGCTGAGTGCCCTCAACTGAAGTCCATGGGAAGCAAAGGCATTCAGTACTTCAGAGAGGTGTTGGTACGCCACAGGACCTGGTCCTTTGACTGAAATCTAAAAGTTAATTAGGCAGAACGCTGAACTCAGTAGCGACTCTACTGTGGCAACATAATCATTTTTTAAACAATAAGCATCTGTCCATTCTCACACTTTTACCATGTTGGTTTGTACTTTCTGTATGACTGACTGGGCTCACTATAACCAGAATTACGATTGAATGAATTATGGGGGCTGTACTTTAGTTTTAGGGAACAGCAAAATAATGTATGACTTTTCCCACAAATCTCTTGAGGAGGCAAGTATTAGCTCCACTCAAAGCTACTAGCATCTATATGAACCACCAGAAGACAAAAAAAGACTTAATTCAACATAATTTCCCTCTTTCTGATGAATGTGTAATGATTTTTATAAAAAAGGATAAGGTAAAGTAGGCGATGTTTGTTATTTATTGAACACAAGAAATCAATATGTGCCCATTAAACAAAGAAGACATGCCTATGTTGCAGGCTTAACCCATGCTCTTACCCCCTATCATCCTTATGCATGTGCATGTGCTTTGAACCTATGCCTGCTTGCCCATCTCGGGGTATAGGTTAAAGCAAAGGTTCCTCTTTAAGATGGGCTCTGATCGGCCCACTTTGCAATTAAGTTGTAGCCCAGGTAACAGCTCAGGTTTTGACAGCCCTGTAAGCCTGTAGTTTCTGGCCTTCCTGCCTACCCACTTCCTACTCGCCTCCTATGTACCTGAAGCTACCTGCCAGTTTATATACATCTGGACAGCATTTAATTCTTCATTCCATGCACCATGCTCCATATCTGCAGTATTCAGCTCACCTCAGCCAAACAGCCCGAGAAGATGCCAAGCCAGCATGCTGCTAGCTAGCCAAAGGATCACACCAGGGTTCTGATTAACCTCTGGTGTGACTACAGCAAAGAACATGACTTTGGGAAAAGCATCCAAAATCTGCACTTGTATGATACATATCTCCGAGAGACTGGAAGAAGTGGGGGTCAAGCTGACAGTTGTTCAGTGCAGGGGATGCATTAAAAACCTAAAATGCATCTACCACAAGGCAAAGGTTGGCAATTGCAAGTCTAGCAAGTGCCAAGCTAAACATAAAATCTGTCCCCATGGCTATCAGTTACTCTCCCCTGAAGGAGATGAGAACTATTATACAGGTGTGCATCAAAGGGATTAAAATAGATTTTGTGCAACATGCTTTCACAGGAGTGATTAAACTGAATTGAAATAAAAGGCAGAGAAAGAAGGTGTGACCTGCTTATGTGAAACCTGTGACAAAGGTATGAAAGGAGTTGAGGCATGGGCTGTCAGTGACCCGGCTGTTGGGGGAGGCTAGCACCTGGCCTCTCCCCTTGTGCCCAAGGCCCCTCCCCTCCCCTGCAGGAGCCCAGAGCACACTGTGGCCCCAGGTGACAAGGCCCCAGCCCTAACGTGCTGGGCGGCAGCTCTCCCAGCCCCAGTGCTCCGAGAGGCTGGGCGGTGCAGCTGCAGCACCCCCAACTTCAATGCGCCCTGCGGCCCGGCCCAGAGCACCAGGTGGCACAGATGCAGCACCCCCAGCCCTGCTGCACCAGGGAGCGTGGCCCCAGCACCAGCCACCCTGCCTTCCTGCAGGAGGCAGGCTGGCCAGCCAACCAGTCTGGGCCAGCCAGGGCTGGGAACAGCAGGAGGAGGCCTGGCCTTGGGGTGGAGCATGGGCGGGGCCACACTAGGCTGTTTGGGTGGGCACAGGCACAGCAATTTGGGGCACCTTTGGGTCTTAGTGTCCTCCATCCTGCCTCTTCCTATCCATGTTCTGACCCTTCCTTGCTGCAGCCTGGTGAGTCTTCCTCTGGAGGGGATCTAGTACTTAAAAGTGAAAAAGTCTCCAGCCTGCCAGACCTATTTGCACAACACTGAAACTGTTAAAGAGCCATTCAAGGGGTAATGAAGCCATTTAACAGGTATTTGCCAACCCCCAGGCATATACTATTAGTTTCTGAATTTACTGACAAAAACAGTTGTGCATTACTGTAATATTTACTCAGAACATGTTAGTCTACAGGACCTTAGTTTAAAATTTGCTTTAAAAATATTTCATTAGTGTGTTGCTGAAAATTATAAAATCACATCTCTAAAAAATCCTTGCATAGATTTTTAGATGCACAATCTGAGTATTAATCTTTAGCCTTAAATGCTTGGCTCTTCAGACATATAGTTTTTAAAATAAATCCTTCAAAAGACCGCCCTTATCTAAAATACACGTGAGCCCGGGCTGCCGCAGGCATAGGGGCACCAGTTTAATAATACTGCATAGGGCCTCATAAATCCTAAGGACAGACCTGCCGCCGCCCATGAGTTAGGGCTTGATTTATGGCGATTTATGTCATAATTTCCTTCACATTGAGATAAAAATACACCCCAGATCCTGCACCCCCAGCCCAGAGCCCTGACCCCCTCCTGCACCCCAACCCTCTGCCCCAGCCCTGAGCCCCCCAAACCCTGAACCCCTCATTCCAGGCCCCAACCCGCAGCCCTCACCCCCCGGACCCCAGCCCTCTGCCCCAGCCCTGAGCCCCTCTCACAGCCCAAACCCCTCATCCCCAGCTCCACTGAGTCATAGGCATCAACAATTTTCTTCAACTGGGTTGCTAGAAAAAAAAGTTTGAAAACCACTGTTCTAAGTGACATACAAGCCCTGTAGTCATAGGACAAAAAAGGGAGGTTAGTGAGTTACAGATTGTTGTAATAAGCTATAAATCCAGTGTATTTATTAGACCACAATTTGCAATGTCTAGCAAAATTATGAATTTAAGTTCCCAGGCTTGTCTTTTGAAAGTTGTGCAGGTGTCTTTTGAGGATGAGGACTGATAGGTCAGATCTAGAGTAATCAACAAAAACCCCAAATCCCTGGTGCGTGAATACTTTTCACAGAGTGCTCATTTTATATCAGTCCTCATATGGGTCACCCTAGCAGAATCAGACTGAAAATGTTAAAAATGTTTTAAGGGTCCCATGCTTAAATCCCTTCTTGACTTTTCCCATCAGTAAAGGAGTTTATATTTACCCTCAGTTGCAATCACAACCAACCATGCAGCACAGATCAATGACCCGAACAGCCAAATCCTGACAGCAGGTTGCATTTTCATGTCTACACTAACCAACTGCTACTTCTCTTCTTTTAATTGCCAAATGCAGGCACAAAGATCACATTGCCAGAAGACTGACTAAGGGCTTGTTACTAAACTCTAGAGCCAAACAGCTATTAGGTAAAAGGCCCTGGAGGTATGTGTTAGAAGGGAAGTAATTTCCACCCAGTCCCTAAGTGAATAAAAAAGTCAGTTCTGGAGACAGGTTGAGCAAGAACTACCAAGACCAACCCTGATCACTTATCTAAACAAAACCCCCTACAAAGAAGTTCTACAATTCATCATTCTTTCTGTGACCACTGGCATGTCTGGCACTTTAAAGACAAACAGGTCATTGCCCCCAGTGCGTTTACAACCCAAAAATCTGCATTTTGGGATTGCTCAGACAGGTTGCAAAAAACAAGCACTTTGAAGTTACATGGGATTGGGCTGAGTTACTGCTGTGCCACGTTCACAGGCAGGTGCCATGGGAGCTTGCGAGCGTCTCCTGTTGTGATTCTGTGGCAGAATCACAGTGGGGGAGGGATAGCTCAGTGGTTTGAGTGTTGGCCTGCTAAACCCAGGGTTGTAAGTTCAATCCTTGAGGGGGCCACTTAGGGATCTGGGGCAAAATCAGTACTTGGTCCTGCTAGTGAAGGCAGGGGGCTGGACTCGATGACCTTTCAAGGTCCCTTCCAGTTCTAGGAGATGGGATATCTCCATTAATTTAGAAGGACTGATTTTCAAGTGTGTATTGTTAGGATGCACGTTATGGGCTGTTGTTGCATCCACCCCCTTTCCAGGCACCTCGCTGCACGGGACTCAGCAGGGGCGTCACTGTTGATGCCTGTGCGTGCAGGGACAATGCGCTGCTGACTGTCTGTGCGGGGGGGGGGGCAGCCCCGAGAGCTCCTCGGCCTGCCAGAGAGCCCCACCCCGCGCTGACTCCACCGGCCCCGCGTCTCCCTTCCCGGCACCAGCCCTGCGCTGAGGGGGCTCATCTCCCCCCCTCCCAGCAGGGGCCGCTAGAGCGGAGACTCTTTTCTCCGCTGCCCGGAAGTGCGCGCGCTGCAAATCCGTCCGTTACCGGAAGTGTGTCCGAGCGAGCGAGGACTCTCTGCCCCTCCGGTCTGTCTGTGCACCAGAGAACATCTTCCCCCTCCTTAGCGCCGGAAGTGGACGAGTGTGCGGGTAATCCACACCCCCGCCCCCGCATCTCCCGGAAGCGAGCGCGGCTTTACGCCTTCCCCTGGTGCCGGTGCTGGCGGCCGGGGGCGATGGTGGGGCCGGCTCCCGGCGGGGGGAGCCCCCTGGAGAACGCGAACCCCCTGATTTATCGACGTTCGGGGGAGCGGCCCGTCACGGCGCGGGAAGAGGACGATGAGCTGCCCGACTCCATCGACGACCGGGAGATCTTCGATATCCTGCGCTGGGGAGGCCGGGGCGGCGGCGGCGGCTTTTGGGGGGGGTCAGGGGTGGGGGGGGGCAGACCGGAGGGCGCGGGGGAGAGTTCTCTTCACGCCCCATCATTTCGCAGCCCCTGGGCTGGGGCAGCCCCTGCCCGCCAGCTGTACATTTCTTCCCTGTGCGGGAAAACGTGGGATTTATTTTCTCTGGTTTGACTGCGCTGGTAAGCGCTGCGGTGCAAGCCCGCGGTAAGCGCCTAAGCCCGCACCTAGCAGGACTGGGCTCCGTTCCTGACACAGCCACCGCTGTGCGACGGTATCAGTGGACGTCTGTGTGGTCTGCGTGGTTCTTACACCGCCCTCACCACCACAGTCTCTGAGCCCCTTCCCCTAGTGCACTGTGACGTGACTGTCAGATCAGCGCCCTTCTCCCTCATCCCCTCTCCAGGGGGAAGGATTGTGCGTGTAGTGGGGTTGGGGTGTTTCTTTGTTCATGTAGGTGTGCAGGTCTGTCATACAGAACATTGCAAAGCGCCAGGCCCTTCTGTGACGCTACTTAAGGGCTCTGAATCCCAAACAGCTGGAGGAGCCTCCCATAAAGCAAACTCTGAAAGCTACACTAGTATACAAATAAATTAAACAGTTAATCTAATACTTTATTATAGCTCTGCAGAAAGTTGTAGGTCTCTTCTCACTTGAATAACAAAGGGATATCTGTAGAAAAGTGAGAAATCTAAAGGGTATGTGTGTGTGTGGGGGGGAATCATCATCCATTCACATGTCCCTTTCCATTGGTACTGGGTGCCAACTGGTACTGCTATTATTTGTTTACTGCTTTATTTTCCTCTACATTATACATCTTATTCGTTCAATTAATGACCCAGAACATCCCCTTACTTTGGAAGAGCTGAATGTTGTTGAACAAGTTAGAGTCAAAGTAAGTTACTTTAGTAACAAAATTATAATAGAGAGGATTTAACAAGTATTGATATACTAACCAAATTTTGTCTCATTATTGGCATGTTTGAACGCCAAATGCATAACTGTCTCAGGAAACATACATAGAAAATGCAATTTAGAGACATTTTAAAACTGGAGTAAAGAACTTCCAGTAAAGGTCTCATTCCTGCAAGGGTGGGATGCTGCCAGTGACTCAAATAGGCAAGGAAAAGTTGGGGCTTTAATTTTCAACAAAGTTAGATAACATCAATCTCTTAAAAAATACAAATAAATATTATTAAATTGCCATGGAGCATTTATTGGATTATTTTCTGTTTATAACATTTTGGTCAAATAATTATATCTGTTTTAGCAGTTATGTATATTGGGACAGATTCTGTCCTCAGTTATGTTTGTTATCCCTGACTGTAACCAGATTGCACAGGTATTACAGAACAGCATCTGGTTCATTGTCTACTTAGTTTATCAGACATTTCTGGTATGGAAGGCGAATGTTTAGAGCTGTCATTTGTATGGCAGGTAAAACACTGCATTTGAGAATAGCAGTACTGTAGATAAAATAAGCAGGGAAGGAGGAGGAGTTAAGGACTATTAATTAAGTTGAATTTCAAATAAAATTGCTAGTATTGACTTGTGTCCACATCAGTGAGTTTTCTAAATGGAAAATGTTTGTTTTTCAACAGGTGAATGATGCTGAAAGCACAGTAGTGGTGGAATTTACTCCTACAATTCCTCACTGCAGCATGGCAACATTAATTGGCCTATCAATAAAAGTAAAGTTGATCAGATCACTACCTGAAAGGTTTAAGGTGAGTAATAAAATCAGCCCCAAAGGAGAAGAGGGAAAGTGTTTTAAAGAGAGAAACCTATAGTGAAAAATAACTAGGGCTTTTCTTTACCTCATCCTGCTCTGGGACAAGGACATGCTTCATGAAACCAAAAAAAAAACCCCCACAATAAATTTGAAACAAGCACAGAATTAATAATCACTGCAGGCTCAAGGCAAATGGTGAATTGGATTTGTGTGAGAAATAACATTAACCACTTCAAAATTAACTGATGCCCTGTGGAAGAGATTCTCATTTTTACATATGGGGAACCTGACACTACAGAAAAAAGTTAAATGCTTTGCTCCAGTCCACAAGGGAAGTCTGTGGCAAAGGTAGGATTAGAATTCAGTAGTTTCTGACTAATAGTTATGGGCTCAGACCATTACACTATGCATCTGTACCAAAGAAAACTGATTCAGATAATGAAAAAAAAAATAGAAAGTGACTGGTCCAAGTCAAAATTCCTTTGTGTAGAAATGTTTTCATGTTTAATTATGAAACTGTTTATCTCCAAAATTCCAGAGTTTTGTTGGCTTGCCATAACGTTAAATCTCCTTTAAGGGATAGTGTTAACATGTTCTTTTAAAAAATTGATTAATATTTAAAAAACAGTCTGATAAAACATCCTTCAAATAGTATGTCCAGAATTTTGATAAATGCATTAAAAAAATTGTAAGGTTTTTTTTTCTGCTGTCCTGTTAAATGTCTATAATCTTTTCAGGAAGAGAGAAACTGACCATAAGAGTGGGAGGGAGAAAGTAGAGGGGACTCTGAGCTGTCAAGTGTACAAAGTAAACAGTTTTTTTACTCAGCAACTTCAGTATTGACCAAGGTGTTGCTTGTAACTGTGGGAGGTCCAGACTTTTCAGGCATGAGTTTGAAGCTGATAAAGACCCTTTACATTTATTTTTTGTGAGAGAATGCTACATTCTGCTTTCTGAACTGCTGCATACATTTTCCTTCTGTCTTTTTATAGCTTTTGTCCAACAACTTTATAAAGACTTCAAGAGTGAAGTCAAAGTAAACACTGACCTATTGTAGTTTAACAAGTTTTATAAATAATGATTACAAATACAGTAATTTATTTTTTAGGTGGATGTTCACATAACACCAGGAACCCATGCCTCCGAGCATGCAGGTGAGCTTTTCTTAAGTCCAAGAGGTGCTAATAATATTAAATAATTATAATATAATAATCTAATAAATATTAGAATTAAGAGATGGAATAGATCTGGCATCAAGTTCACTGACCTGTAAGTGCAGGATAGGGAGGGAATTTTAAGTCAGGGCAGACTTTAAACTCTTGGTTCCACACCCTTTACAGCAAACAGTTACCCTTACCAAAATCTACCACTAAATCCAACAACAATGGATAAGCATGGTAGCTGAATAAGTGCTGAAATACTGAGCAGTAAGATAGTAAGTTTAGGTCCTGATCCCCCAACTTGTTCCAGGCAGAGGGACCCCTGCTCTCACATGGGGCTCCAATAATATATTAGGGACTCTGGTTCCAGCCATCTGGAACAAGTTGCAGTGCTGTGCATTAAATCATTAATTTACACTGTACAGCACAATTCTGCGGCACACTTGGCAACTATAGAATTAAGAAAAACATGGGGCTTTGTCTGCCATTACAACAGTGTGGGAGGGAACCAATTTGTATGTAAAAATGTGTACTGACCAAGCTATTGTGGGATTCTTTTCACACAGTTAATAAACAACTTGCTGACAAAGAACGAGTAGCGGCTGCTTTGGAGAATTCACATTTGCTGGAAGTGGTGAACCAGTGTTTGTCTGCTCGATCATAATTGTTTGATGAAGAAATCTTTGTTTTTCTAATGTGTTAAGATAATTTTGTACATAATTTCTAATATGTAGTTGTATATGTTTCTGTGGGCAAAATAAAGCTACTAAAATTTATAATTTTTTAAAAAAAATGACTGCTCCACTATTACAAGAGTTAACGTGGAAATGGTGCATCCAAGATACCAATAAATTAAGATGACAATTTTATTTTGCCATCAGGGAATTTAACATTTATAATTTTATATTTTAATTCATCACCTGTAACAGTGCGACTTCTCCTTAGAGAGAAAGAACTCCCATCTTAAAATAAAGATTTGCTTTGACCAGTCATCACTATCCTAAACCAAAGACTGTTTCTATTTTGATCGTTTATACACACATTAAGCCAAGGAATAGTTTAATCTTTATATTCAGATCAGTTTATGCACACTTGTACTGGACTGTTAGTTTGCTTATATTCAACCTTAGAAGTTGAGATCTTAAAAAGTACATGTGCAAATTGAATCTTGAATTTAATTGTGTATATCACACAGCATATACACAAGTCTGCATGTACTTTTAAAAATCTGGCCAGTTTTGCTACGTTAATTCATGTGTCCTGTTCTGAGGAACCATCCAATATTTGGTATAAGGTATAATAAACATACTGGAATATGTTAGTCTGAATTCCTTTGCTTTTGTTGATAAATCAACCTCTAGTGGTATGCTTATATCATACCTAGCACAACAGGGCCCTGATCCTGACTAGGGCATGTAGGTTCAACCAGAATACAAATAATAGAAAAGATCTTTAGGACTGGCACTTCTGTGCCCAGTACTGCTCAGGAGGGGAATAAAGGTGGCTTACAGCTAGTTCCAGTTCTGCCTTGCTGCAACACTTCACTGTACTCCCCTGCAAATTTTGGCGGCTGAATCACAATGTTAATATTTTAAAATAATGTGTTAAGTTTCACCATAAAAATGTCAGCAAGGGGTAAGGCATCATAGTTGGCCAACTAATAGGAACACCTATCCCATGTTAGAAGGTTTGGGAAGATGGCATTTTCATTAAGAGTATTGTAGATGTTTTCTTTGGCAGTGAACATATATGGTGTATACCTATACAGTGACAGTAAACATATACAGTTAGAACCTCAGTTGTGAACTGACTGGTCAACCACACACCTCATTTGGAACCGGAATTACGCACAGGCAAAAAGGAAAAGAAAAGGCAAATACAGTACAGTGTAAACTACTAAAAAAAATAAAGGGAACGTTTAATTTTTTTTTTTTTACAAGATAAGGAAACTGTTTGTGCTTGTTTCATTTAAGTTAAGATGGTTAAAAGCAGCATTTTTCTTCTGCATAGTAAAGTTTCAAAGCTGTATTAAGTCAATGTTCAGCTGTAAACTTTTGAAAGAACAACCATAACATTTTATGCTGAGTTACAAACAACCTCCGTGCCCGAGATGTTCGTAACTCTGAGGTTCTCCTGTATAGCTTTCAGTCCAAAGCAGGTAAGCAACTGAGTTCAGAGTGTTTTTTTACTGCCACCTTAGAGTCAGAACTATTTTTAATGAAGGCAACTAGTTCATATAGCGACTGGAGAAGTTGAAAGCATTGGAAAATGTAGAAAGGGTAACAAATTGGCCTCCATTTGAAAATATAGATATGTATCCTATTCGCTATGCCATTCTACATTCAGACTTGGGCATGGTGTGTGTTCTCAAAGAGTGTTGTGCTAGTGACAGTTGTAAGGATGTTCCAGTGCTGTGGCTGGTATCTTCATGCAGATTGCTCATAGATCTTGCTTTATGAGTGCTGGTGAGTCTTCAGAATTCAAAACAGGAAACTGACAATTTTTAAATACAATTATACATAAAACTAGCTAGTGGCTGTGGAGCAATGTGGTGGATGTTTGTTTTCATTGTCCGTTATACCAGCTCTGTCTATGACACCTTTACCTCCAAATCAGTCCATGTGGGACCCATTTATTTGACATAAGTTTAATGGCACCTCAGGTTTTTGGTGGGGAGAAAAAAAACCCAGTCACAGCATAGATCTGTAACTACAGAAAGTTGTTCATGGGCCTGTTAGTTATAAGAAAAACCCAAGGGAAACCTTGAATATTTAAGTAGCACCTGTTATTTCTGCATGTTAAATACGCACCATAGAGCTAGGCATGAATGAGAGAGTGCAATGAGAACAAATGGGCAATCCAATGTGAGCTGCTGTATTTCCAGAATTAGTCACAACATCATTGCCACATGTGTCTATTTCAGCTCCTCTTGCCAGGTGATAAAATATGAGGGAATAGAAAATAAAAATAAGACACTTACTAGGGAGGGTCTTAACTTTGAAAGGTTTACTTTTCCTGGGCTGGGTGATGCAAATATAGTCTTATTCCATTGGTATTATCTAACATTGAGATTGCTTTAAATGGCTTTAAGAAGCCTCTTTGTTTATAAAAACTACAAAAAAATCTGTATTGCATAAACATATGTGCTTTGGTCACAGGAACACATCAATGTTGGTAATTCCATAGTAACAAACCAGTGTCCCAACCTAGTGATGGGGGAACTCTGCTGCTGGGTTTTCAGTCTTTCACGAAACTGGGGCTGATTGCTTGAGATCATTAAAGATCCTCCTGGGGAATATTTCACAAGAATGAAGGGTGCTAGTGCCAGTCACCTGACCAGATTCCATCTTCAGTAATTAAGTTTTGCTTCTCTAAAACAATCCCTGAGTCCTTGTTGGATAGGGTATGTGCTTCCTGTCCCTCCTAACCTGTGTGTAGCCTAGTTATACCTTTCAATACATGTGCGTGGCTTCTATTTCTTTTGCTAAGAGTCACAAGGTAAGAATTTGGCTCTTTAATTGATGATGCATTTTAACCCAAATGCTGCTCTGTGGGAATCTGTATTTACACACACATGTCTAGTATGCATGTGTATATATTCACCACATATGCAGTGATGATATCTCTGTTGTAAAAGAGTTTACTATGACTACCACACTTAGATTCATGGGCAGAAGACATCTCCATGGGACTTACTCTAACATTCCAAGCCCCCTGAACAGATTCAGAGAGACATCATTTTAAAAAAAAAAGCATCCCAGAGATAAGATTCCTCTTCTGCCCCCCACAGCTACACCTAGTCAAGCTCAGGACAAGCAAGATTTATTATGGGTGTGTGAGAGTTTTCCTGTACATAAAAATGGCACTTCTTTAAAGTCTAATATCTTGCTGGAGTTTTACACCATTTGTAAGAGGTTCCCCCCGCCCCCCAAAAACAACAACAAAAACAATATTGCAGAGCTTCCTCTGAGCCTGGTACAGTTGGACTGATGGTAATTAAGGCATTATATATATATATATACATACACCCACCCACCCACCCCTATAATATGTAATGCTTCAAATGTCTTCCTGAGATGAGATATTATATAAGTACATAAGTTACAATTATAACAACTCTTCAGGCTCGTAAAATTACCATGACTAGACCTGTGCAAACTACAACTAACCAAATAAGAGGCAGCTTCAATGCTTGGGAGAGTTTCCACCTTTCCAGAAAAGCTGAGGATACCTTGTGTCTTCTGGTGCAGAGAGACAATATCTCAGCAAGATGCGGCTCTTTCCTGCATCTGTAGGCAGAGACAGTACCATAAGGGTTAACAAACTGCAATTTAATGCTATTACATGAAAACAGGAAATCAACCTCCTTCAGGCAGCTCTAAGTGACTGGAGGACAGTTTTGTGGCACAGCCAAAGATCAGAGGAGTGCAAAGGCTACTTCCCCACCCCTTTTCTGAGCTTGCCTACATGACCATGTCTAGTCTGACATTGTGTGCTTTGAAAACAGACTTTGTCATTTTTTTTGACACTGTAAACTAACTGCCTCCCCCAGCTGCACTCAGAGTACTCTACTTTTTCAGCAGTTGTCTTTCTGCTGTGACTGAAGTGTAGATAACCAAGTGCAATAGCAGTACAATCCTGTACTTGGTCTGCAGAGATGGAGAGCAGGTGAAACAGTAAACTAGTTGCATCTATGCCATTCTATGACAGACCTGCGGGTGGCTATCTTAAAACAGAAAAACTTCAAAAACAGACTCCAACGAGAGACTGCTGAGCTGGAATTGATATGCAAACTAGACACAATCAACTCAGGGTTAAATAGGGACTGGGAATGGCTGAGCCATTACAAACATTGAATCTATCTCCCCTTGTAAGTATTCTCACACTTGCTTCTTATCAAACTGTCTGTACTTGGCTATCTTGATTATCACTTCAAAAGTTTTTTTTCTCTTACTTAATTGGCCTCTCAGAGTTGATAAGACAACTCCCACCTGTTCATGCTCTCTGTATGTGTGTATATATATCTCCTCAATATATGTTTCACTCTATATGCATCCGAAGAAGTGGGTTGTAGCCCACGAAAGCTTATGCTCTAATAAATTTGTTAGTCTCTAAGGTGCCACAAGTACTCCTGTTCTTTTTGCGGATACAGACTAACATGGCCGCTACTCTGAAATCTATGGGAGCTGCATCTATGCTGTGCTTCCTGAAAGAATGCAGACACAGGTGATAATGGTGCGTATATAATACATGCATGGTGACTTTTACTACTCTCACCGTTGTCTTCCCAAGCCAACCACAACTTGGCTTATTGGCATCTCTTGTGGTGCTATGTCTGAATTAGACTGTAAACTCTAAAGGGCAGGGACTTGTCATTTAACAAATGGCTGTGAAGCACCTATGGGACCCATGGCGCTGCAGAAGTTACTAGCATAATGGTAATGATGTATTTGTGCAACAGGCTTAAAGAATGGAAGAGCCTTTGCAATTTGTGGTCTGAGTTCATAATGGCTGAGCTCCCAGCAGTCCTTTGTAAAATCCATCTTTCAGCTATATCCAGCCGTGGCTGGCTGTAGCTGTAGAGGTGGGGAAGAGAACCACTGTAGGCATAGGGAAGCTGCAAGAAACAATCAAAGGGACCAAAAGGAAACTTAAGAAGGCACCAGATAGAGCCAAGGCTTGGCATATCAGAGAGACCCAGATGGCAGGAGAGAGCCAACCAGAGCTCCTGGAGTGTGCAGATGGAGCAGAGAGACTGGAGAATGCAGTGCTGGAC